TCCGTATGGGGATTACGTCTTCTAGCAAATTCAGTACGCAAGACTAACCCCTGCGAAATGATCAAGAATAATTCATGAACTTTTAAGAAAAGTTCATGAATCATATTCTTGAATCAGCTCATGAATTGTTCATGAAGATCCCATGAAGTTAAAATTGGACACTCATGATTTCATGGATTTTATTCATGAAAACCAAGTTCAAGAATATTCAAGAATTATTTGTTGTTCATGAACAAACTTGGATTTTTTAAATGCCTGCAAAATGATCAAGAATAATTCTTGAACTTTCAAGAAAAGTTCATGAATTATATTCTTGAACTTTCAAGAAAAGTTCATGGATGATATTAATAGGTTCAATGCAGTTTCATGAACTATTCATGAATAATTTGTAAAAGTTATTTAGGAATGTTCATGAACTATTCATCAATGTTCTTGCTTTTTGTAAACAAAAATGTAATAAGTTATGCAAAATGAAAGACTGTAAAAGAAAATATTTTAATAGGATCTTGAAAGATTTCACAGAATTTTTGTTTTCCAATCATGGTAACAAAATCTTTGTTCAAGTAAACAACTCTGATAAGTGATAACGATAATAAATAAATTATGTAGTTCATTCCAAGTAAAATTATGCAAAAATTTCAATTCAAACGTGACTCTTTGCAGAATCCTTAACCTTACTTGGTCAAGATGAGAGTGGGTTCCTTATTCAGCGTATTTCAAAATGTATGCCTAAAATGGAATGATTTTTAATCCAAGTCTCACTGTCTGGCAGAAAAGTGTGTTCAGCAATTAGGGCATCAGCTAAAAGGGCTTTCAAGGATTTTGAGCAGAGGTGGTCAAATAAAAAAAATCTTATTGGCTTTCCCTGTGGAATTTTCAGAATTTAATCACTTGGATCCTTTGATCGATTACGATTCATATGTTCATTTCTTTCTTTTGTTTTTCTTCGAGAGCCTGGATTTTTTATATACATATTTTTTGGCAGCAGTTTTTTAATCTGATCTCAACTCATCAACATTATCTGTGAACTGCTTCTCTTTTCCCTACAAGAACAAAGATTTTCTGAAAATGCTCATAAATGTGAAAACTTGAGACTTAATTGTTTGTTTTATTTTTTTGCATATTTGTTTTATTTAATTCTGCATCATAGGCACTGCCATATTTGAAAGCATTTCGAGCGGGAGTTTAGCCTGTTTCTCTTGCCCGCCATGTTCAAGATGTTATAGGTGAACAGGATGAATGTTTCAATCTTTAATTATTAAATGTAACGTAATTTGGTTGGATCCTTACTCATAACAAAGTTTGACAAAATTTTCATTAAAAAAGATATAACTGAACTCTTACAAATAGAAAGTAACATCTTGAAAAATATCTCACAGATTCAGCGATTGCCTCCATTTTTTTGTAACTCACCACTAATATCTGCAGTTATGAAGTAAATTAATCCTCTGGATATTCCTTCTTCGTATTCTGTTATTTTCTTCAAAGGTTGACAAAGAATGACTACGCTAATAATCCTCCCACTCTACCGATTCACTTTCCAACGTCTCGCGCGTTTCAAAGTTTGCGCCTTTTAAAAAATGTCATGCAGAGCAAATTAAGAAATAGTTTCGAATTGCCAAGATTTTTGTTTAACAAAAAATAACAAACACTATCTGAATGATTTTTCACTGAAATTAATTTTTTTGAATTAATATAAGTTATATCATTTAATGAATTGGATTTTTTTTTTTAAAGTTATACCTGTATAGCCATAGTTTCGTATTCAAGTATGGCCGCCTCCATATGAGAGGACAACAAATATCTCTTGAAACCACTCGCCCTCAAACTCAGTACCCTGAGTTATGAAAGTGTATAGGAGAATAGACTACAAAATACGAATGTGGTTCATGTCATAGCTTCTTCACAACCATGCAGCCTGTGCTGTATCATTTACACACGATGGACAGAAAAATGTGACTTTATAACTGCATCAAAACATAAAGCTTTTCGACCCAAGAATGGTACAGTACAGTACGGACAAGAGATATAATTTTTTAGTTGTCAATAAATTTATGATACGTTTTCACGAAGATTATGAAATTTTTCCTAGACTGTAAGTCTGTTTCATTTTCTTACAAGTTGTTAAAAGTTTGACAAATAGAGAAAATTCGGTCGAACAAAGTTGTGTCGTGAAAAATGAGATACTTTAAAGCACAATATTAATATAGCTGGCCAATTTAAATGATGAAGAAACATTAGTAATTCAATATGAGAAAAAAATGCTGTCAATATTGATGCAGTGTTCTTTAAATTACGATCATAATATAATTATAATCTCCCTTCTAGACAGTTATTAACTGAGTTTTATTATCCTGAAGAATCTAAGTTATCAATTACATAGAGTAGAAAATAGTGATTTTAACCTCTTATGTTCCCCTACTCGGCTCTGATCCCATACTTTCAAAATCAAAACAAAAGCATGTTATTAATTAAATCAGGGGCTTGTCCAACAATTGCATCTGCATGCAAAAGTTGTATTATGGGAGTAATGAGTGTTTTCTGGCGATCGTTTGTGACAATTATTTTTACATTTTTAGTCTTCATGAAAATTCATGAACATTCATTACCTTGAACTATTAAGTTTTTTTTTTAACTGAAAATTACCAATATTCATATTTGTTCATCATTTGTTCATGAACTATGAATTATGAATGTTTTCATGAATTTTTTTCATGAACTACTTTTATGAACCTGTTAAGAATCCTTTAAGAACCATTCATGAACAATTATGAACAGCTCATAAAGGTTCTTAAAATCATGAATATCATTTCGCAGGGGATGCTCTCTGTACGAACAATTTCCGAAAAAAAGGAAAGCTAATGACAAATTAGTTGATGTAAAAAGGATATCAAATGCTTTGTTTTATGTTAACACTTCTAAAATTCTATATTCGATACACTAACCTCGTCTGCATATACAATAAGTCTTTCATCATGTCGAAAGTTGGTGTTTTTTAAATGAAAGTTATTGATAGTTATTAGATTGAATGTTATTATTTTATTAGATTGAATATTATTATTTTCACAATGATCTGTATACAGAGTTTTTATCTGATCACGACAAGGAACACACGGCGGTTGGGATCAATTAACAGAGGATGTTTACTCCTATAGAATACACTGATTCCTAATCTGAGTTTCTCTTTTTTTTGCTATTCCCTCGATTTTATTGTTCAATGGATGAGGAGCTTGTTTTCTGAACGTATATTCATATATTTAAAAAAGCCAGAATTATAAATATCTCATAATATAAGTGTTTCACTGTGACCCTTAGCAATTTCAGAGGTGGGATTAGGTGCCCAGGTGGAATAAGCATACTCTGTCGACAGGTCAAAAGCCGCCTTAAGCCCTATGTACTGATCTGGTAGACGGTACTTTTTAGACATTTCAGTAAAACAAAAAAGCAAATGTGAATTGAAAAAGCAGCTTTAAGTGCTCTTTAAAGAAATGCAAAGAAGTTGTTCTACTATCCATAGAGAAAAATCCTTGGTCGTTTTCATATAGATGCATAAGGTTAACTTCCCAGTTCACGGGAAAAACCACGAGTGTCTAATAATTATAAGAATTAAAATAAGGGAAGATAAGTGTGTTCGTCTCATAAATCATGTTCCATGCAGATTGGGAACATTGTCAAAGCAGGGACTTCTTGAAATACCAGAAGTAGAATCATAATTTATTTATACTCACCTTTTATAAGCGTATGAATTTCATTCGGGAATAAAAGTGTACATAATGTTTATATTTCATCTGAAACAAAACCAAATAAAAATTCAAACGCAGGTATGTTAAGGAAGCATATAAGTCATTTTTCGAGAAATTCAGACTTTTTAAAGGAAATTTAGTTTGATAATTTACAAAAAACCGCTGATAAGCATAAACTATTATTATTTATTGCATAAAGATAAAAGAGTGTCTAACACAACGACGTGCAACACCACCACGGCATCACGTGACTTCTATTAATAGCGAAATTTTCCTTTAAAAAAAAGCAAACAGAACAACAATACCCCGGAGTTTGATAATTTCTTTGAGTAAATAATGTTGTTAAAAAACATCTATTTTGTGCTGCTAGAATCCCACTGTCCCGTTTGTAAAATAATTATTCCACACATTCGCAGGAAACCTTACCCGATGGTTTGAATTTTTTACCTATGATTCGAGATTTTTCCTAAAACCACGCTTAACTCGGGATTCTAGCAGCACTTTCCAATTTTTTTAGGATGCAAACTTTCCATCAGTACAAATTTTATGTTTTGAAATGTACAGCTTATTGTTGTTCTATCGCATTATTTTTGTCACAATCGACAGAGGAAAGGCCGACCGGGATACGTATATAGCTGACTGTCTTTGAAAGAGAATATAATTGATGAATATGAATTAGCATACCTTTTTTACGCCTACTATGACGTCATAATGTAGCACTGATTTGGTCAAGGTAAAATATTTTGTATGCTTCCTTATTCCCCCTGCGAATAAACCATTGAGGTACTCACTGTAAAAAAAAAATAAATAAAAGGTGACCCCTCGTTTGTAAGGAAATAACAGTGTTTATCAACACTGAACAGGAAAAAAATCAGGTAAAAATATGGCGTGTTATGTATAATGTACACAGTATATGGATTACCGGGTAATTTTTCAAAAATTAAAGGTAACATTTTTCAAAATTTAAAGGTAACATTTTTCAGCGACCCGCAACGAATTTTCTCGCAGACGCCATTTGATAATGTAACGTATTTGTTGATCTCAATGTTTGTACGACCTACTTTATTAGTGTATTAGATTTCATGTACGACTTGTCTATTGTGTCTTCTTTGTGTTTACGTTGACTTCCGGTTTAATAAATGTTGTTCTGTTTATCCTGAGTCTTTATCCTGCATCATCTGCCCCGAACAGGCACGAATACGAAACATGGTGGCAGCGTTATAATCTAAAGAACCTAATCTTTTGCGATACCTAGCCATGGATAAATTGAAAGCTCCGGAAACGCTGAATTTCGATGCTACAGATTTAGCACACACGTGGAAAAAATGGAAAGAAGAATTCTCGCTCTATGTTGACCTAGCTATGGCAGAATCAGAGGAGAAACAGAAGGTAAAAATGCTTAAATACCTTATCGGAACACATGGAAGAGAAGTGTATGACACACTAATATTCACAGATACTGAAGATAACAGAACTTTGAAGGTAATTTTAGAGAAGTTCGATGCCTATTGTAACCCTATGAAAAACGAAAGTGTGGAACGATACAAGTTTAATTCTAGGAATCAACAAAGTGGGGAAACAATCTACAGTTATGTGACTGAACTTAAGCTTTTAGCAGCACATTGTGGCTTTGGCGATTTAGAGGAATCTTTAGTCCGTGACCGCATTGTTTGTGGAATTAGAGACTTGCACCTACGGGAAAGACTTTTACGTGAATCGAACCTAACACTGAAAAGCTGTCTTGATATATGCAGAGCATCAGAATTGTCAAAGGAGAGAATGAAGGAGATTGAGACTCCAACAGCAGCAGAAGTACACGCTCTGAGAGGAAACGGCTACAAACCAAAGACTAATCTGCGCAGTGCTCAAGCGACACCAAAATTGTTAGCTAAAAACTGTATGTATTGCGGACGTAAACATGAAGCTAGCAAACTCAAGTGCCCAGCCTATGGAGAAACATGCCACAAATGTAAAAAGAAGGACCACTTTAAGGCGATGTGTGGACAACATTCAAAGTCAACACAGAAGTCTGGACAGAAACCAGGTAAATACAACAGAAAATTGCATCAAGTTACTGATAACGACTCAGACTCTGACTCTAATGAAAACTACTATGACACAATCCGAAGTGTCACGTCTGAACCAAAGAAACATGTTTATGCAACTATGAATATCGGCAAAACACCCATAAAGTTCCAAGTCGACAGCGGCGCAAGTTGTAATGTTATTCCGATAAGCAAGCTAGATGAGAGCGGATCCTACTACAAGCTCACCAAGTCAACAACTGTACTAACTACATACGACAAGTCTCGGATCCAGCCCCTAGGAAAAACAAGTCTGAAACTTGTAAATCCCAAAACCAAAGAACTCTATGACACCGAATTCGTTGTAGTGAAGCAGGACACAACACCAATACTGGGCAGTCAGACCATTCAAAGGATGAAACTAGTAACTATTCATTATGACAACATTCTAACTGTTACTGAGGAAACATTAACAGAAGAGTATGTTTTCAGCGAATACAAAGATGTGTTCGATGGTACAGGACGCCTAGCAGGGACATATTCACTCCAAACTGACCCATCGATAAAACCTGTAGTCCATCCGCCTAGGAAAATTCCAGTAGCTCTGAGGGACAAGCTCAAGACAGAGCTGGAACGGCTTACAGAGAAAGAAATAATTACCCCTGTTACCGAACCAACACCGTGGGTAAACAATCTCGTCATTGTGGAGAAGCCTAACAAATTAAGGATTTGTCTCGACCCTCGTGATCTGAATGGGGCCATTCAGCGCAGCCATTACCCAATGCCCACAGTCGAAGAACTCTTACCAGACTTGAACAAAGCGAAGGTATTTTCTGTTGCCGATGCCAAAAATGGATTCTGGCATGTTCAACTTGACAAGGCCAGTTCAATGCTAACAACCTTCAACACACCGCATGGTCGCTATCGATGGCTTCGAATGCCATTTGGACTAAACTCAGCGCCAGAGGAATTTCAGCGGCGACAAAATCAGACTGTAGAAGGATTGCATGGAGTACGTTGTGTACATGATGATATTCTGATCTTCGGAGAAGGCGCGACTGACGAGGAAGCTTATCGAGATCATGACCGCAATTTCCGAGCACTTATGGAACGCTGTAGGGAAAAGAATCTGAAGCTAAACAAGGAGAAACTGAAGTTTAGACTCAAAGAAGTTCGGTTTGTGGGACATCTACTGACCAGCAGTGGAGTTCGTGCTGACCCAGACAAGGTCAAGGCAGTGAAAAATATGCCCACACCCACTGATGTGTCAGCTGTTCGACGATTTGTAGGTTTCGTAACCTATCTGAGCAAGTTTCTTCCCAGGCTTAGCGATCTTTGTGAACCTCTTAGAAAACTGACTGTTCAAGATGCAGAATGGAGCTGGCTTGAAGCCCATGATAAAGCCATACAAGAGATCAAGACACTAGTTTGTAAAAGTCCTGTCTTGAAATATTATGATCCTAAAGAGGAATTGACACTCCAATGTGATGCTTCGCTAACAGGATTAGGAGCGAGTCTATTGCAAAATGGACAACCAATAGCCTTCGCAAGCAGAGCTCTCACGGATGCAGAGACCCGTTACGCTCAAATCGAGAAGGAAATGCTAGCAATTGTATTTGGCTTAGAACGTTTTCACCAGTACACCTATGGACGCTCAGTACATGTGGAAAGTGATCATAAGCCTCTAGAATCTATCGTGAAGAAATCGCTATTAGCAGCACCCAGACGTCTTCAACGAATGCTGCTCCGGTTACAGCAGTATGAGTACACAATTTCTTATAAACCAGGAAAGACTATGTATCTTGCAGATACATTAAGCCGAGCTTACCTTAATGAAACAGGGACAACGAGCTTCGAAAGGGACTTGGAAATTGTAAACATGGTGCAGTACTTACCCATGACTGATGTTAGACTTTCCGAGATTCGCAAGCACAGCTATCAGGACGAGTCATTACAAGTTCTCATGGATGTCATACTTCATGGTTGGCCTCAGAAGCGAGAAGAAGTCCCTCACCTTGCAAGACCATACTTCGACTTTAGAGATGAGCTGAGTGTTCAGGATGGAATTCTATTTAGGGGTGAGCGTGCAATAATCCCTAAAGCAATCCGTTTGGATATGATGCAGCGAATACATTCCTCGCACTTGGGAATTGGAGGATGTCTTCGCCGAGCAAAGGAGTATGTTTTCTGGCCTGGAATGCACTCTGAAATTTCTCAGTACATACAAAGTTGTGAAACTTGCCAGATGTTTGAAACCAAACAACAAAAGGAAACCCTGATACCTCATGATGTTCCAGACAGACCTTGGATGAAGGTTGGAACTGATCTGTGCTCATTTGCTGGAAATGACTATTTAGTGACTGTTGACTATTTTTCAAATTTTTGGGAAATAGATTTCTTGGAGAACACAAAACCTACAACAGTGATCAGGAAATTGAGGAATCATTTTGCTCGCTATGGAATCCCAGACATTGTCTTTTCAGACAATGGCCCTCATTTCAGCTGCAAGGAATTTGCTACATTCGCATTGGAATACGAATTCCAACACATCACGTCATCACCAAACTATCCGCAAAGTAACGGGAAGGTGGAACAGGCTGTGAAATCTGCAAAGCGTATAATGAAACGAGCTCGCAACTCTCAACAGGATGTCTACCTCAGCATTCTTGACTTCCGAAACACACCAACAGAGGGAATGCAGAGTAGTCCTGCACAGAGATTAATGTGCCGTCGAACAAAGTCGCGACTACCAACAACCCCAGCTCTTCTTGAACCAAAAATCCCAATGTCTGCACATGCGGAAATCAAGCACAACAAGCATCAACAATGCAAGTACTTCAATAGAAACGCAAAGGACCTACCTGATTTAGAACATGGACAGCGTGTCTGGATAACACCAAAACGAAATGATCCAACCAAATCGTGGACAAAAGGGACTATTGCTAGCAAAGTGAACATTCGGTCTTACGAAGTAAACACAGACGAAGGACAGTCGCTTCGCAGAAACAGGAAAGATATCCGTATCCACAGAGGTAAAAACGAACAACCACGACAACCTGTAGACCTTGATATACCCGATTCGAAACTAGATGCAGACAACCCAAACACTGACAAATCCGACCAGTCGAAGGAGTCCGTTCAAGCACGCGAACCAATAGTGTCCAATGAAACAAGTGATCATCCACAAATTCATATTCCACAACACACCAGATCAGGAAGGGTTGTGAGATTACCATTGAAATACAGTGACTTTGTATCAACTTGACACTGCCATGGCTTAAATGTATATATGAAGTTTTGTAATGCATGCTATTATATGTCCATTTAGTTTAAAGACAAGTCTAGTCTCAGATACATTCTAGTCATTCTAGTCATATGTCAAATTTGTTAGAATCAACTGTAGTCAAGATGCATTCTAGTCGTATGTCAATTTCGTTCAATATCAGTTTATCTTTGAAATATGTTCTAGTCCAGTTCAATTTCATTTCCTAAAGAAAGAGGGATGTAACGTATTTGTTGATCTCAATGTTTGTACGACCTACTTTATTAGTGTATTAGATTTCATGTACGACTTGTCTATTGTGTCTTCTTTGTGTTTACGTTGACTTCCAGTTTAATAAATGTTGTTCTGTTTATCCTGAGTCTTTATCCTGCATCATCTGCCCCGAACAGGCACGAATATGAAACAGATAACAGGGGAGACATGCATGTGTAGTTTAACATAACTAATGAAATATTGAAACGTCTTCCTGCAGATTTGTGTTGAAAGAAATTAAAGAACAGTCGTACGATAAACAGAAACAAATTGACTCAATAGGCCGTTGAAAAATTTTGAACATGTACCTGTGTAATCATGTATCTATATTATTACAGTGTATACTATAAATCAATCAATGAAGGTCATGTTTATATTATGTATTCCGTATATATTCCTGTTTAACTCCTTCAAAAACTGAATAGCATAGCTTGATCTTTCAAAATCAGAATAAGTCCTTTACAAAACCTATTCTGCTTTTCAAACATTTGACATAAATATGATATGATTAATGATCGTCTTTAAAAAAATGATATTAATAAACTGAATATTAACATAACAGGTTTACAGTTTATGCCATTTAAAGGACTCTATCTACATTCTGCGCTCAGAATAGACCTTCTATTATATCAACAAATGAATGAATCACTGAATGAATGAATTGTAAAGTTCGCCGACCGCCACCACTGTTTGGCACCATTGTAAATGAATATCTTTTTGGTTATTATTTTGTTTCATGTCGAACGCTAACTAGCTTTTCACATAAAATGTTAACCACTTTTACCCATAAAAATTATCAATGGATTTCAACGTTTGACAGATCCTAACAATAAGCATACGCAGGAGGGACATATCCACACGAGGTGCGTACTAGTACATGTACTCCTCTTTGGAACCGGGTGAGCTTACATTTGATTTCTTTTAGGTCATGTTTGCTTTGTTCTTATTTTGTATTGTGTTTAAAGACTTCTGAACTTGATTATTATAACTTTTCATCATCCCTATACAACATAAAAAATGAAACAAAAGCAAAGTAAATATAAAAGATAATGAAAAGTAATGAATCCTGTTAACATGTTAATCCCGAAATTTTTTTTTTGAACAGAGCAAGTATACAGACCCTAGATTTATCAGAAAGATAAGGTGCCTACATGCATGAAAAGTAAACTTCCTTTACAGAACAGAACATTCGCCTTTAGCCAAAGTATTGATTAGTTCACAGAGTAATCTGCATTGAAATTAATGTTTTAATAAAAATGATATTTTGTATAAAACATGTCAGATCAAGACAACTTTAGACAGTCGTACGATAAACAGCAACAAATTAACACAACTTTAAGTTAGGCCGTTGAACAATTTTTGAACATGAACCTGTGTAATCATGTATCTATATTATTACAGTGTATAGTGTAAATCAATTAATGAAGGTCATGTATATATTATGTATTCCGTATAATTTCCTGTTTAACTCCTTCAAAAACTGAATAGCATAGCTTGATCTTTCAAAATCAGAATAATTGAGTCCTTTACAAAACCTATTCTGCTTTTCAAACATTTGACATAGATATGATATGATTAATGATCGTCCTTTAAAAAAAATTGATATTAATAAACTGAATTTTAACATAACAGGTTTACAGTTTATGCAATTTAAATGGCTCTATCTACATTCTGCGCTCAGAATAGACCTTCTATTATATCAACATATGAATGAATCACTGAATGAATGAATTGTAAAGTTCGCCGACCGCCACCACTGTTTGGCACCATTGTAAATGAATTTTGTATGTATAGTAATCTTTTTTGGTTATTATTTTGTTTCAAGTGGAACGCTAACTAGCTTTTCACATAAAATGTTAAGCATTTTTACCCATAAAAATTATCAAGGGATTTCAACGTTTGATAGATCCTAACAATAAGCATACGCAGGAGGGACATATCCACACGAGGTGCGTACTAGTACTCCTCTTTGGAACCGGGTGAGCTTACATTTGATTTCTTATAGGTCATGTTTGCTTTGTTCTAATTTTGTATTATGTTTATAGACTTCTGAACTTGATTATTATAGCTGTTCATTATCCCCATACAACATAAAAAATGAAACAAAAGCAAAGTAAATATAAAAGATAATGAAAAGTAATGAATCCCGTTAACATGTTAATCCCGAAAAAAAATTTTTGAACAGAGCAAGTATACAGACCCTAGATTTATCAGAAAGATAAGGTGCTTACATGCATGAAAAGTAAACTTCCATTACAGAACAGAACATTTGCCTTTAGCCAAAGTATTGATTAGTTCAACAGAGTAATCTGCATTGAAATTAATGTTTTATTAAAAATGATATTTTGTATAAAACATTTCAGATCAAGACAACTTTAGACCTAAGAATACATTAAATTTTCAAACAATCCAAAAAGATTGTAATTTTACAACCGTGAGCTACGAATGGATTTATCCAATGGTCCGTATCCAGTTTTTCTTCTTGAGCTGACATAATGCTAAATACCTTTTCCTCATCTGCAATCGGAACCACCAACAGATGATTCATTTAATTATTAATCTGAAGAAGACTTGATAGTTGATTTTTGGTTCAGATTTTACCGATATATTTATCAAATCTTTTCGCAGAAATAAAAACCAGTTGATTATTTATGTTTGTTAAAAGTGCATGTTTTTTTTTTTTCAAGTGAATTTTTGCGGTTGATTTTATAGGTAGTTTTCTTGCTATTTGTTTGCCTAGCCGAACATTTGATTAAAGCGTATTCGAAGTAAAACTACAATTCAATGAATCAAAACAAAAGCATGTCATAGGATTTGTGTGAGAAAAATAGTTCTTATAAATAGAAAGAAAACTAAAATAAATATAGCTTTCTTGAACTTCTTGTGAACTATCATAATGTTTTTGTCATCAACTTACAGTATTCTTTCTTTGTTTTGATTATGTATTGTTCTTTGTCATCAGAAAAAACATCGACTTCTTTATTCCTTGGGAATGATTATAAATTAGTCTTTGTATACATCATCTATCTACCATTTGTTTTATACACTCATATAGCTTCCTGGATATTTTCTGTACGATTTATAGATGAACCGTTTAATATCATATTGCTGTTTTTTTTTTAAATGAAAAAGTGGTGTAAGAAATAAATTTTCTACCAAGGAAAGAAAATTGTGAGTATCAAATGAGATCTTTTTATGAATAAAAGGGTTAAATCTTAGTGAAAAAAACTTCATT